AATGTGCTGCCCAAAAGAAGCAACTATATTTACGCATATTAAGGAGTAGCCTACTCCATACTCCGTAGTGCAGTTCTATGTATTTTGCCATGCACTCCGCACCTGGCATTCCAGATTAAGGATTCCGACCATCCAAGGCTACTCTGGGCTGCTGGGCGCTGCAATAGACCGAGGGGATGTTTGCGAGATGCCTCTGAAATTTGGTTATGTCTATCATTCACTTGCCATATTCGGGAGTCCCTTACGTTGTCAAGTCGTACAGATCCGAGCCCATTCTGAGACGGTTATTGGATGTCGCCCTCTCCTTCTTAACCTCAGTCCTTCACGAGGAAGATCATCAGTCAGCAAGCGCGGTGCCATTTCCAGCACCCTACCGATGTTCTCCTCGTCAACCTCCTCCACATGAATAGGGAGGCTGACGAATGGACCGCCTTGATCTGCGTTCTTAGGTATGTCGTCTTCGGCAACAAGCTGCATAGCTCATTGCTCTCCGGAGCATAATGTAGATCCAGCCCATAATAGATCAATACGGTCGGAAAGGACTTTAGACACCTACCGCCTGTGCTAGCATTGTAAAACGGCCGAGTCGCATCAGCCCATGATTTCTCAATGTGGAGTTGCAGTTGATACAAAAGAACTGAAGTTTAAGCCTCCCCTTTCAACCTTACAGAGTGACAAGGGACGAAGCAAGGAGACCCCATGCAAGTCCGAGTCGCACCATGGGGTGTGGAGCGATTATGACTCGGGGCCTATGCTATTGGCGGGGGATTCGCTGGAGTTTTACTGGGGATGGAGAAAAGTATTATATTCCGTATATGGCTATGTACAAGCATGGCTCAGGGGGTGGGATGTCGCCGCATATCCCCTTGAGGCCCAACATCCCCCTCAGCCCAAACATGCAGCTGGGAGGAAGTAATGGGTAATCTTCTGGAAGACAGAAAGGGATGGAATCAAGACATCTCACCTGTCCAAACCTTATCGGTGGCTACGCAGGTCTCACGAGCAACCGAGGGGCAATGGTGAAAGAGCATCTGTTGCGTGTGCAACCGGGGGAGGGGGTGCCGGCCTAGCACTAGAGCGAGCATAGCCTTGGAGAAGAAAGTGTAGATGCCAGCTGAAGCGGATAAGCCGATTACGATGCACGCCAATCGAATCAGGTTCCCTGGAAAAGGATCGAGGAACGTGGGCCAGAAGTCTTGGGGGGGGGGGAGGAGACCTGAGAACCTGCTTTGGCGAGTCGTCCCCCACATGGGAACCGCAGGCGAGATGAGATCCCTGCAAGACCAAGGAGGCTCGGGTCGGAGGGGCTAAAGGGGGCGAGGTTAGTAGTGGACCTCGAGCAACCAGCAACATTGGGGAAAGCAGCCAAGCCTCTGGCGGCGATGGCTGGATGTCAATGAAGTTAATGCCAGGGCAATCCTGGGCGGGCCAGTCAGGAAACCTAAGGCTAGAGAGTATGTACGGCAGAGTACTCCGTACTCCGTACGGAGTAGACCCTGGGACGCGACCGTATCGCATGGAGGAACCATTCGAAGCCAATGCTGCCACTAGCAGCTCCAGGGGGGCGGTCTTCGCTGACGGGCCAACAGGAACGATGGTGCAGCCTCCGAGACGCGGTACGCAAGTCGATCTTGGGGCGGAAAGTCCGCTGTTTGATGTGTTGAATTGTGTTTCTCGGGGCTTGAGAAAGAGGGTTTCAAGTTTTCAGGAGTTACAGCTGGTCCGTGGTTGGGAGGGTAAATTAGTAGTAAATTAGGATCTGGCGTTGTCTCAATTTACATCCTCAAAAGTGTATGGTTTCCTCCACTTATGATGAGCATGATGATTACGTTTACGGAGTATGATGTGCCCAGTAATCTCAACGATGTGGATCGCATGGTATTACTATCCTCATACTCTGTACTCCGTACGGATTATTATGTAGTGTTTGTACGGAGTAGACAGGTCAAGGAATCTCAAGCTATCTCTCTGACTACGAGGGACTGGAATTGGAGCTGGAAGGAGACGATCGTCGGGCGATTTGCGTGGAACCCACTAGGAAGAAGTGCTGGATTGGGCGAATTACCATAATGGCCTGCTTTTTACCATAGGCAGATCGAAATACTCTAGTGTATCCTATATGCGGAGCAAAAATGACTGGGTCGCGGCAGACGGTCAAGAACGCGATCCTAGCACGACCAACAGGCCGACGCAGTGGGAAACGAGAACTTACCCAAGGGTTGGATGTGCTGCATGCCCTGATAAGACTGCAGGTATGGTAAGAAACACCTCAGAAAGAAAAGTGGTGAAATGACTAGGATGGTTCTGGTCGACACATCGACATCGTGGAAGGGCAGCGTAATGGACCCGTTTTCCCACGCGAGCAAGGGCCACTCGGGGCAACAAGGCAATTCCACCGTGTCAGACAGGACAGCATACTGCAATTCATGATCTCACTCTGCCAATTAAATTAAGGGATTATTGTATAAAATGAACGAGAAGAATAATAGAATAGTAGAATAGTGAGGGTATCTATGAAGGTGTGAATAAGGACTCTCATAGGTGGAGAGGTACAGAAGGAAGGTACGGTGTAATACTATACCTTAAGGTACACACAAAAACTAGGAAGAGTCCAGCTCAGCTCAGCGGAAAGTGTAATCAAATACCTAGTACGGAGTACCTTACAGCCACCATTTTACCCCACGAGTATAAGGATCTGAAATGAGTATGAATATGAATGTACATATGAATATTATGGAAATTACAGAGTGAATACTATCAAGTGAACACTAAGTGAACCTGTGTACGAGTCTTGGTTTCAAACCGCGTCCTTGCAGTTTTCCCCTCCTTACGATATGATACCAATCCCGTATCTCTCGTAAATACTGAATACTCCCGGTACTCTCAGCCTCCACCCGGAAACCCCGTCATGACGGTACCGCACAGCTTCTCCTTCTGTCTCAGCTCGGCCTTCCACTCACTCCTCTTCTTCTTTTCTTTCCCACACCCGCCTGGAGAGAGAATCTCAATTTCCTCCTCCTTGTACTCCCCTCCCCCTCCCCTTCTCTTCGTCGATACCCTTTTCTCCTTTCCCTTTTCTCCCTCCCTCCCCTGCCAATTTGTGGAGAGCCCGGAGTTTGCCTGTCTGACTGAGAATCGAGCACCCGTCTCAATTCCTTCGGTCTACACCAACTCCTGTCAAGTCGAATCCCCTCCTCGGTCTTGACGATCCCACCCAATTCGACTGTTTGTTAACTCAAACGGCGAACCCTTCGTCCTCTCCGTCCGCCGGTGCCCTCCTGATCCCCGGACCCTCGACGATCAACCTCCCTGATCCAGCTCCTGCCGGTTAGACGAGCGACAGTGTGGGGATAATCATCTTGAATTTCTTTCGGATGATTCGATAACTCTACATTTTTCGGTTCTCGATTATTATAGAGCCTGCTAGTTTGGGTGAGTCAAATTCGAGAGAGAAAAAAATTGTCTTGCTGTGTGGGTTGCCCTGGGCGGAATATCGAACGATGCGAAACACCATACACTGCGGAACCCTCGATGGACGTGGAAATTCACTGCGAGCTGTCATGTTGGGTACCGATCGTTCAATGATATTACTCTTCTGCGTCAAAATGCAAAATAGGTGAAAAGGAGTCAATTGTGTGACGAGAACACCAGGTGGAGATCGGCTTCCATGCTCAGCCCTAATGCTTCGAATTGTCGGCCACTGAGAACAATATCAAACTCTTCAATCAAACCACGAGATAAATAGGAGTTGGAAATGCAAGGCCGAGTCCACGAAACGGGATACATTGTCGACTGCTTCAGGGCACACCTTGAAGGGAACGGAGTGATATTCAGTTGCAAAGCAACATGGAATGTGTGCTCCAGGGTCCGGTTGTCACATCCCTCCAGGGACAGGCTTGTTCTTGAATGGAACTGCCTTGTCCACTCCTAGGGGTCTGCGTTGAACGAAGGGGTGGTGAAAATCTCCAGTTTGTGACATACCGGGGCATGGACAACCGCCGACGATCAACCACCGGGGCAACACATACCTTCTGCAGGACAATTATTGTGGCTTTCATTTTGATGAGCATACATGCTGACGCTGTCTTCTCCAGGTGTTTGGTTTTTACCCAGTGACTTTAGTGTCAATTCCGCTCCTTGTGTGTGGATGTCCTCAAGTCGTTGACCGACCAACTACCCATTCAACACGGCCTTTATTTAAATCAGCCTGGGGGTTCATTCCGAACACGTTAGCTCGTGAAGTGTACGTTGTGATTTTTGTCCCTGTTGCACGTTTTTCCCCCTCCCCTGACGATCGTGGTGGCCCCCTACATAGGGTTGTGCTGTTCCTTTCATACTCCACATTCCGCAGACGCACTGGCCCCAGGGGTGAAGACGTTTCGTCGTTCTTCATCTCTAGGACTGGTATCCTACAGGATCCTAATTCAACGGATCATTCCTGCGTTCTTGCCTAGCCTAGATGCCAGTCACGCCGTCACGGTAAGGGTTGCATTGTGCCCTCAGCCCGAAGGCTCGTCTGACTGGGTCAGTATTCTCCGAAGGAGGTGACCCGCCCTGTCTGGCTGGATATCAAATGCCTTCACTTGGTCGGAGCCTTCCCTTTTTCATCCTCACACTCTTTCTTACACCACACACTCACTTCGTTTCTTGTCGTTGCTGCCACTACCTTAATTCTAATTGTTTAATCGTCGACGCCGTCGCCCGCTAATACGTTAATTACCTTCAACAGCTTTCGTCCTCGAAGACTTCCTCCCGGTCACCGGCCTGTCTTTCCAGCTCTCAGACTATTGTCTCTTCGCTGGTCCACTCTTTAATATTTCCAACTATTCTCCAATCATTCATTTGACTCGCTTAATCTCGACGACTGTCACTCCCTCCTTTCCGTCGTTACCTGATATCACCATTCGGTCTTCAGGTTCACCACTCCGGCTTTCGCAAATTTAAACAATATCAACCGCTCTCTCTTGCAACCAACGGTTAACTCGAATAATTTGAACATCATGGCTTTCTCCCGTCCTCGTTCCAGCTTCCAGCCTTGTGAGACCTTCTTCGTGGAGGATGACTATCACCGTGCTCGTGCAGACAGACAGGCGCAACAGGAGCACGACAAGCTCGTTGCTCGTGAGCGTCAATATGCCATTGCGGATCAACTGTCTCGTCTGACAAGCGAGGAGCTTCGTGACGATGTCCTGAAGCACATGCTTGACATGGACGTGAGTATTCTATTCCCCTTCCAAGTAAATATTCTTGTTAACAGCAGGCTAATCTTCTTAACAGAGTCAAACCCTCCCCGATGTGGAATCTATCGATATTCAGACCGAAATTCAATGGTTCATGCGTCCGTACCTCCTTGACTTCCTGATCGAAGCCCACACTGCCTTCCAGCTCATGCCGTCGACCTTGTTCCTGGCCATTAACCTCTTGGATCGTTACTGTTCCAAGCGCGTGGTCTACAAGCGTCACTATCAGCTCGTTGGCTGTGCGGCTCTCCTCATTGCCGCGAAGTACAATGACAAGAAAGACCGTGTCCCCACTGTCAAGGAATTGAAGTCGATGTGCTGCTCTCTCTACGATGATGACATGTTTATCCAGATGGAATGGCACGTTCTGCAAACCCTGGGCTGGACCATTGGTCATCCGACTGTTGATAGTTTCCTTCAGGTTGCTGTCCTGGATGAGGCTTACGACCCGGAGGTGGAGCACATGGCTCTCTATATTCTAGAGATTGCCCTATTCCACCGCGATTTCGTCTCTAAGCCCTCCTCGGAACTCGCCCGGGCTGCCTTGGCTTTGGCACGCTGCATCCTCAATCGTCCGCAACCTCGTCACACCGACTGGGCTTCCCAGTACGACTCGATGACTCTTGTTGGTCTCTCCCAGCAGCTTCACCAGCCGTCGTCGGTTGTTGCTCGCAAGTATGCCTCGGCCCACTACTCGCGCGTTTCCAAGGTCCTGGAACATTTCCTTAACCGTCAGGCTTCATTGGCCAGCTACGCCCGATGCACTCCCCCGGTCGAGACTCCCTTGGAGTCCAAGCCGTACAATGGAGAAATCGGACTTGCTACCCCCCCAGAAGTCCCAGCAGTTGAGTGCCATTGCGCACGGATACATGACTCCGCCGGTTACCCCGGAGAATGGAGGCTTTGTCCCGGCGCAGATGGGCAACCAGGACCTCAACCCAGTCGTTCCAACTGTGAATGGCTGCTCGCCATCACCTGCACCTGAAACTGAGATGCAGTACATGTCTACTGAAGCCTACCAGCAACAAGAAGCCATGTACATCGCTCAGCAACAGCAACAACAGATGCAGCAGTTCACTTCACAGCCACAGATGGTCATCGACCCCACATACGCGGGTGCGATGTAAAGAAGACAACAGGCCCCCCAAAAAGCAGCGACAACCCCAAAAGTGTTTCGGCGTCTTGCACATATTCTTCGTGCGCCTCTTTATCTCGCCCACATAGAACTCATTCGACGGAGCATCTGCTTTTGCGTTGGTTCTTGACTCCGCTAATACTACCCCTAATCCTAAGCCGCTGGCTTCTTCGGCTTTCGACCTGCTTCTCCGCCATCTCGACTTGAACCCATCCCACTCTTCATTTCGATATCATACCGCTTTGCATTCGGCTTCGGTCCTCAGAACCGGAGTCGAGACCAGCCTTTTTTTTTCTTCTTGTTCTAAAAATTGCATACCCCCTTTTCTCTCTTTGTTGGCCCAATCCCCTGGGTCTTCATGTGCATTTGTTCTCATTTTCCACATAGCATTGCAAGAGCGAGCCTGATTTTGATTTCTATTTGTGATTGTCATCTGCATTGTTCTCATTTACCCCAACACACATCTTCGATTCGCATTATCTGTCGTCGGGGTACTCTTCGGAGCCTGAACGATACCTTTTTCTTACTGCTGCGCGCCCGTCGGCGCTGCGCATTTGCATCCACCAACACCCAACTCCTCACGATCTTTTTACAGCAAACCCCTGCCTCGCCCCTGTCACATCATCATCACCCATCATCAGAAGAAAAAGCCTTTAATGTGTTTCGCCTGCACCCCCACTGAATAAGGGGTTTGCACTATTCCCGCCTCAGTACCCCCGACCTATATACAAGCGTTGCGGATGAAAATGGCATATAGATACGGCACCACACAAAAAAAGCAAAAAAAGAACGAAAACCATGCAAAAACAAAGTTGCGGTCTCCCGGGGATTCACAACCGAGACCTGAGATTGATATTATCCCTCCCCTACCCATTGTTTGTGTACCTAGCCGATCAGCCCGTCTCTTGTCCGCTTTTTACCAGGCGAGTCAGTGAACTTGTGCTGTGATATTTACTGTGTGGATCCGATACTGCCACATGGCCCACGAATGATATCCTGTTCTGTGGAATTTTTTTTCATGAAAACGTAAACCATGTAGCTCGGTAATAGCCGGCATAGCCTCCTTTTTATGGTCCCCTCTAATTTAGTAATTGAATAAAATCAGGCCAGTCATCGCGCACAATTCCTAGGTTGTTGATACTTCGATCGAAGATGTTCAAGTTTTGTTCAAGTTTCGATCTTAGAGGCAATCCACCTGGCTACCTAGCTATATAGTAGCTAATAATTTGGACTCCGAGTCGTCACCACTGCTCACTCACTGCCCGGGTGCCCAGGTTGATTTCACCATAGTCCAAGTCGCGTACCTACCTCCCTACCTAGGTACCTACTAGGCAGTAGTATGTATTACTGGGGATTTCCATTCCAAGGTTCCAACTTGCCTAATAATCTGAAGGTTCTTCCCGATTCGGAGGTCCTGCCATCCACCTGGGCTTGAGGTGCGTTGACTCCCCGAGGAGCGAATCCCGAGCTCCTCGGCCCGATATATCCATGGATCGTACACTCCAGGGCTGCCTGCCCGCGGTACTCAGAAGCACCCTGAATGCGCGACAACATTGGAATACTATTCAGGTGTTCTCTTGACTACCTAGGTAGTAAAGAATATTAGTAGGTAGTAATTTAAGATCGTTCATCTCTTGGCATTCCTGTTGATATTTTATAATGCAGGTAGTGCCCAGGTGATTCCAAGCTTTGCCAAGCTCACTGGCAGGCATGGGAATTTGAAGTATTGAGAACGCTGCTCACGTGGGATCGAGAGTATGAGGCAATTATCAACAACCTGAACTCGAATATACCCAGGTATATTTGTGTAGTAGCAACCTTGGAAGTAGTAACAGGGCGCACGTACTACAGATACTACCACAATGATTGGTTTGAACTAGATTCCAATAAATTTGATTTGACTTGCAAGCGTAACTGGAAGATGATATCCAGTGTTGCCGCTCCATTTCGCTGCAGTCAGAAGCAACGAGATTGTCGGTAGGACTCTAAGCTCCTGCCTCGAGGAAGTCAACTCGTCATTTGGGTGGCTTGAGATGAGACTGTAAAATATTTGAATAAAAATATGTTCTAGCATCACCCCGTACATACGAAATAATTGAACTTTGTGATAGTCTCCACGTCTCGGTTGCGAATATTCCTACGATTACCGCGTCAAATTTCCCATTCAGTAAAACCATGGAGCCACTAGTGAGTTTTTAGCAATCATGAGGCCCAAACCCCAAAGTTACGCTACTCTTTTTCACCGAGTCCGCCCACACATAGACGTGCTATCTAGTTTGCCGCTAGGGACCCCAAATAAAGGTGTAGCTTCTCCTAGTTGCGATCCTGCAAATGCTTGCGACAGGGCCGCAAACTTGATCCTACCACGTATCGTGACATGTATAATTCTGATTGCGTCTGGATCCTTAAATTTTATTTTACGTATTGTTTACTTCTCCCAGCATAGTACAAAGGTTGATGTGGTTCAAATACCCAACCCGGACTGGAGAGAATCCGTGGATCACCCTACCTCTACAGGGTACCTAAGAGCACAGCGACTCAGGGCTAGTAAACAGCCAGTAAACAATCCTGGGGCTCGGAACTTGAACATACGTCAATAGAGCAAAAATGGCCAAAGGAGAAAGTATCATAGAAAAAAAAATATTGAATTGAATTAAATTCAAATAGCATCCAATTTGGATCAAAGTAAGACATATTCCAGAATATAAATATCGCTCATTTGCAAAATTTCAAAGCCCGATTAACCCACGCTATGCATCGCAACCTCATGAGAGGTAAAGAAAAGAAAATGAAGGACAGATGTGGGAGTCTCTGGCAGTAGGAGAAAACCCGAGCGCGTACCCCGCAGAATCACGAATTCTGCAAGGCATATGCGCAAAAAAAGTAGTATGACACGTGTAAGCCTTTCCGAGGTCAAGCAGACCGACTTGATGAAAGAGAGATAAGAAGTGGGGGTGTAAGGGGGTGAGGGAGACAGGGAAGATGGAGAGATTGGGGTGAGAAGGTCACCACGAGAAAATAGGTGAGAGTGGAGAGGTCCAAGGAGTGAGAAGGTCGGGGGGCTGTGGTCGACGACGAGAAGGGAAAGAGAGGGGGGTCCAGAAAAAGAAAGAAAAAGACACAGAGATAACGCCGAATATCCCAGAACTCCGCAGAATAATGATACAAGGGTGCACAGCAGAAGCTAGGGGAGCAGAGGGGTGGATCCTCCCTGTTGCTTTCCCCAGCCGAAAAATCCGGGGCAGAACTTCCAGCCAAAGAGCGTGTGAAAAAGGCCAAAAAAAAGAGTAGGAGCAAGCAGTTGAGTTGGCAATGGCAAATGCCTTCCCTCCCATCCCTTCCAACACCCAAAAAGGGAGCACAGGGCCCAGGCCATAATGGATGGGATCTGAGGGTCAGGGGGGATCGGTGATCGCGGTTGAAGCGGTGACGAAAGGACCCATCCCTTCTTAGTCTCGAATTGGCAATGAACCAATTTGAGACTAAGAAGCGAGAAAAGGGGGCAAATGAACAGAAACACGGACAACTCTCGGGAACATTTTGTTCGAGACAATCAATCGCCGCCTCACTTTTCGTTCTCGCGAGTTGTCGCTTTTTTGGATCGTTTGGCTCAGCCAGCCGCGCGGATAAAAATAGCTGGGGACGGGAGACAGGTGCCAGAAGTTGCCTTGCTCGTACTCTTTTTGCCGGATGTTTGTGCCCCGGGTAGAAGCAGGCCTACTTCCAGCGTTGTTTGTCCCAGTCCGATGGACGGGTCTCGTCGTAGATTTGGCCACCTTTGTTGTGTACAACTACCGCAGGTTTGCGAACGGGATTGGCGGCTGGGGGCGTATCTGCATTAGCCGGGCTCAATCTGGGGATCGGGAACAGGGGGGGTGCCCTCCGCTAAAAAAAAAAAGAATGGGGAGGAATCAGGGTGTGCTCAATGCTGGATCGGCGTACCTCGGACCTCCGTTGCGATGACTTGGTCACCACTACTGCCTCTGCTGGCTAGGGTAGAATTTGAGTCGTTGTTGACCTTGTGCGGCATGGTGTTGGAAAAGGGAGAAAGAAGATAGGAAGAAGGCGCGCGGGAAAAGATGATGACGCTTGAGACCGAGAAGCTGAGCTGGAGCTAAGCTGTAGTATGGGCTGATCGGTCTCGAAGGGCAAACAGTGTTGAACTGCGCGCAACGAGATCTATAAATTTGACGTTGAAAGAAGTATAAGACAAGGTAGAAAGAAAGGCGGGTGGTGTGATGGATTAGAGATTATATAGAGTGGTTTAGCAGCGGAGAAAGATGAGAAGCAGCCAGCTTTTGTATACCCCAGGCCATTCCCTGATCTACGACTCTGGGGAACCGTATCGTCGCCAGGGAGCTTCGACTTCCACGGGAATGGATCGCCCCCTGACGCATCTTGTGCCTGGTATTACGGCGTCTGGCCTGAATGATTGGCCTTAACCCCCAGCCGAAAGCAGGGCAGCCAGTCAGCGCGTCGCGGGCCATACGCGGTGGACTCGTCGTACGCGGTGGACCCAATAATGATGAGTCAGCCATTCCTCTCTCCCAGAATAGCCAGCAGGCTGAATGGTGAGTGGTGACTGGTAGAGGATAAATGGCGCCAGGGCTCAGCAGGGAGACGAGGATTCCTCAACCTCACCGCTGAGGGAACGAGCCGTGCAGGGGGATGCTCTCGATTGCGCGGCAAAATGACGGTGATGTCAATGAACCAGGGGCATCGCTGTGATGTCGGTGAAGCTTCCCTTTCCACCCTGGTCCACTCTGGTCCAGATTCCCCTGGCCGAATGATTGAGATCCATCCTGGTCCATCTTTGGGTTGATCATTTGCGATTATAGCGTGGCCTCGCCAATCGCTGCTCCCGTGGGCCCTGGACGATCACTTGTTCTGCTTGTAAACACTTGTACATATTGAACTCCTGCAGTATACCCATTCGCCCCGAAAGAAGTATAGTTGATCATGCATTCAGACTGTACTCCGTACTCCGTAATGCCTGGCGAGATGCACTGCTGCGTCACTCCAGTCTCCAGACCGATTCCTCAGCGGAGCCATTTTGTCATTGCTTGGGCACGAAAGACATGACGGGGAGGAGATAGGTCATTTTCCTTTCCCCGGCAACCGCAAGCCCCCCAACAGGAATGACAATGAGGCTGCGAGACGTGTAACAGTGTATTGAGCCTTTGGAAAACAAATGGGACAAACTTCTATAAATTCTAGACCCGCTTCAACGCACTTGGCCACCGCCCTCCCGCTTCATCCGTTCCTCCCATCCATTCATACTCCGCCGGATTCCAAGCGTCCGCCGTGCCGGCGCCGAGGCTTGCTGGCGTACCATTGACATCGTCGTGGTATGAAACGTCACCGACTCAATGCCCTGTCCGCTCTGCCTAATTTGGGTGCTCTGACTTTCCGGGGTGGAGCTTTCCTGTTTCATCTCACCTGACCCAGACCTTGACTCCGCTGTGTTGTCTCCATTGGATTGTTGTACTTGCATCCTACCCAGCTTCATTACAGGTCGTGAGGGAGCCGCCAGCCACGTATAGTTGTTGGGCTCAGATGGTTCTAGCGCTGGTCGTGTCGGATGAAGCGGCCGGGGCTGGGGGCGATGAGAAGAAAGGGTGGGCGGAACGAAATTGGAACTAGGTCGATTACTTTGGGATGTCATGTGGTTTCTTTGTGTCGGCTGAGGTGGTGGACGAGTGGTTGGGGCAGGCTCCCTCTTCTGGGAGGATCCTGGGCCGCCGAAGAAGTTTGAAATGCTGGCCTGAGTAAGCCCATCTTTGGCACTCGCGTTCTTCCCTTTAGTTACAGGGATTGAATCCTTAACAATATTGTATTTATCCTCCGTAATGGCCTCCTGACTGGCAGATGAGGTCGCAGCATAATCCCGAGCAGATGAAAAGCCAGATGACATGGTTGTAGGGGCGATGAAGTTCGATGAGTTGCTCATATTGTAAGTGTTAGCTGACATGAATGTCGTTGAGGTAGATTGGTTGCCATCAGCTCGCCGTCGTTTAGGATATGGTCCTTCAATCGAGTCGTGGCCTTTATCCCATTGACTATCGAGATGCTCCTCTCCTTCGGCCGTCCACCTATCGTCAAGTGTCGACGGAAGCGTATCGAGCATTTTGTACATGTCCTCGGGCGATGGCCTCGGACGCCGCAGGATATCAGCAATTGAAAATACCACTTTCTCGTGCAAGTTGGGTCCCCTGGGACGAAACCTGGTCGTCGTGACTTTGGAAGGAAGGAATGGCGTCAGCGTGGTAGATGCGTCCTCTCCTTCTCCAATTCGTGGCTGTCGTAGAGGAAGACTGAGGTATAACAGGGCTTGTGCTCGCGTCATCGCAACATAGAGAAGACGTCTTTCTTCGTCAATCACCTCTGCCCGCGAGTGTGGAATACTCCCATTGTATACGGCTGGTATGAAAACAACAGGCCACTCTAAGCCTTTCGCTGCGTGTATAGTGGAAATTGTGACAGTCTCTGGTGGTTTCTCACCCTCTTTGCCCTCGTTTTGTGTTTGTGCCTCGGTAGAAAGAGCGACGTTGGCCAAAAATCGAGACAGAGCCTCTTCCCCCAAGTGCATCGCTGACTGCTCAATGCCTTCGATCTCAGGTAAATCGTTCTCCTTGTCCGCATCCTCGCCCGAAAGCGCTGTCTCGTTGGCTTGGCCCATCAATTCTCTCACGTTCGCCCAGCGGCCGTCTTCGTCCAGAGGATAGGTTCTGATAAGATACTCTTGGAATGAGAGGTTTTCTGTGATGTATTCGAGAAGTACACGAGGGGCAGTAGCGTCTTGACAGTCCTGCAGCTTTTGCCTCGAAGCATCAATTAACTTCACCAGTGAACACAGTCCTAGCTCAGCCGCCTTTTGCAGCTTCTTTTCAGTTGATCGACGGCCCTGAATAACATCTTTCATGAACGACCATAAAGGAACTTTAGCCTTGTCGGCGCCAGTTGTCAACTGTTTTATAGTCTCATCGCCAATTCTGCGCGGTGGCACATTGATGATGCCGAGTAAGGCATCTGTATGGCCCGTATTGCTCACGACTCGGAGATAATTGAGGAGTGTCTTGACTTCTGTCCGATCGAAGAACTTGCGACCTCCCACCATTTTGTAGGGAATACCAGCTCGTCCAAATGCCGTCTCGATACGCGTCGAAAGGGAAGCTGACCGGAGCAACACTACAATATCCGACATTCGCACGAGACCACCCGTCATAGCAACACAACGCTTGATTTCGAGAACCATCCAGAGGGCTTCGGCATTAACAGTAGGAAGTTTTCTGAGGACAGGAAGAGTGCCAAAGGAATGGGTAGGCTGCAGCTTTTTGTCGGGCCGTGAGGTATCCTGCTCAATCACTTCCTGGGCAGAGTTGAGAATTGAAGCTGAAGAGCGATAGTTCGACTCGAGGAAGATGGTCCTCGTGTCTGTGTACCGCCGCTGCATCCGCCTCAGATTTTGGATCTCCGCCGACCGAAAACCATAGATACTTTGATCCGGATCTCCAACTATGGTAATTCGTTGGTTTTTTGCCGCAAAAAGATTCATCAATTCATACTGGATGATATTCGTATCTTGAAACTCGTCCACTAAAACTGCCTGCACGTTGGATACACACTCTGGGTGCTCTCTGAGGAGGTCACCGCATCGCAAGAGTAGATCATCGTAGTCGAGAAGATTCGAAGCTTTCAGTGCTGCATCATAGGCACGGTATATATCCACCAGCTCCATTCCCTCTGCCTTGGCTTGGTCTGCTAGTGCATCAGGAGTGAGCCCATGGGCTTTGTGGCGTGAAATGCCCCCTTGGGCAGCCTTGACTTCCATGCTAGAATTCAAGCGTTTGATGATTCTCTGATAATTTTTGATTAATAGATAGTCCCAAAATTCAAATATAGGTAAACTCACCCGGAGGATTCCTCGAGTGTCATCCGAATCCGCAATGCCAAATCCCTTGGGCAGGCCAATCTTGTAGCCATACTTGCACAAGTAACGACGACAGATCGAATGGAAAGTACCCAAAATAAGCCGTGATTCTGATTGTGCACCGATTAATTTCGCAAGACGCTCGCGCATCTCTCGGCTTGCTTTGATGGTAAAAGTGCAACAGATCACATCTTGGGGTAAGTATCCATGGTGTGAGAGCAGATACGCGACGCGTGCGGTTAAGGTCTTGGTTTTGCCAGAGCCTGGTGGCGCGAGCACTTGCAAAATAGGCGCATCAGAGGTGACTGCCTCAAGCTGGGCATGGTTGAGGCCATCTAGAATAGAATCCATGGTATTTCGAGATTTCTGAGTTCTTGGTTGGTTCCAAGCGGTCTTGCCTTGGCGAGGGATGACGCGAATGAGGCACGGTGTCATGTGATCTACATACATACCTACATACATGACCTGCAAGGTCGACTGCAGACAATTAAGATGGTTATTAGGTGAAATGATAAAAACCACTATGTAAAGGAAACTACTCTTTTCTATTTTGATGAGCTCGATAATAAATTCGGGGATTCAGAAAGCCGAACGGCCATTCGACGGAATACGCTATGCCTAGCTACTCTTAGATAGAATGGACTTATGAAAGTTCGAGAAATTATATTCATGAAAGCTTAAATATCTCCCAGTTAAACAATTAGTATGTATTGGCCAGCACAGGCCTAGTACTCCAGCCACGTTGCCTCCATGCAAGAAAGTATGAAAAGGCTAAAGTCGAGTAACAATGTATGTACAAGAGGGGGAATAGATCACTCGACAGCCTGGGTATCACGCCACATCAACACACAAAAACAAAAGCGAGCTTAGTTGAAGATTCCCAAGGGAAGGCTGGCAGCTACTTCAAAGTTGGGCACATTGACCACTTCAGCGATCTGGAGGTCTGCGGCAACACTAGCCAGGATGTATGCCTCACTTCGAGTAAGTCCCTTGGTCGAGACTAGCCACTGAATAAGGCTGCGGGTGGCACTCTTCGCGGCCTGGTATAGGTCCGGGGACACACCCAGAGCACCGTAGGTACCGAGATCGGGGAGGGGGTTGGGTATTTGGGAGCGAGGAGGAGTCTGGTATTGGGGTGCGGTCACCCAGGGTTGGTTCTTGCAAAGCTCGAAACGGAGGGTGGCTTTGATGGGGGTCTCGATAGCGGTACCACAGACTTCACCGAGACCCTGGGCGGCGTGGCCATCACCACAGCTGAAGAAAGCACCGGCAGTTTGAACAGGGAGGTAGACGGTTGATCCAACGCTCAGTTCGCGGCAGTCCATGTTGCCACCTGCGTTGGTGGGAGGCACGGTCGACAACTCGGAGTCATCAGCCGGGGCGAGTCCCATGCATCCGAGGAAGGGACGGAGGGGAATCCGCATGTCCTTAAACTGTGCATAGCCCTTCTCACGGTCGAGTGACCAGATCTTGATCTCAGGTTCCGGGTAGTCCTCCGCCAACAGACCAAAGCCGGGGATGATGGCGGACCAGCCCCAGTCGGCAACTTCGAGGTTCAAGATTTCAACCTTGAGGACATCACCGGGCTGGGCGTCTTTCACGTAGATCGGACCGAAGACCGGGTTGGCAATGCCGAGATCCAGCGTTTGGATAGCTGAGGCATCTGAGCTTGGGGAGAGTTGACCATTACTGCTGTCGATAGCATCAAAGCTAACGGTCTCACCGGAAGAGACGGTTAACTTGGGTTCAATTTTCCGGGACCATTTCACATGGCCACAATCACGTCCAACATGGAAGTTTTTCCATTCGGTAGAAGACATGGCGTTTGCTTGAGTTTGGGTCTGTGTTGAAGTCATAGTCGGCGAACCCCAGGTAGCGCAGAGCAGAGAAAGCAGCTATGAGGGTGCTATGAAAATATTTGCAGGGGTGGTGGGGGTTGTTTGTATGTGTGTGTGTGCAGAAAAGTCGAAGGACGATGAAACAATGGAAGAAGGGATAGCCAGGGAATTTGAAGTATCCGTACTGGGATCCTCTTCCAGATGTACGGTTAGGGAAGGTGGTTAGTGCCGGATCTTACTCATGCTTGTTTGCCAGGGGACTCCACTCTTGGGAACCGATTTCTCTGGCCTGCCTAAACGGGAATGACAGGTTGCGAATAGGACCAGGGAGTCTAAATCTCGTGGAATTGAGCGTGATGGCACAGACGCAAAGCGAAAAAAGGTCCGGTTTATTCAAGTTCAAGCCGGGGAGGAGGGGGAAAAGTGGCGGGCCACCCCGACGGGAGCGAAGCGACCCTAGGGTAAGGTAAGGTAGACCTTGATTCACCTCTTATCCGCCGATTACCATTAATGTCACTAGTTGGAGATATTTGGAGTATATGGAGTACTCTATTGAAAATGGACCTTGGTTGGGAAGCCATCAAGATCACAATATCCTGACCAGCGTCGTAATAACTTTTAGGAATACTCCCGTATTCAATCCCAAAATTATCAAGTTTTCGAGTTAGACTACTCCGTATAGGAACCCTACTCCGTAGAGCACTCTAGATCCATTGCTCGGAATGTCCGAGCGACCTCCCTCTTAAGGACACGAGGATGATACGAGTAAACGCAAAGCACGCCACCGCGATCGAGATGCGATTCCCTTAGGGGCAAGCTGGCCGATACAATCCACTGGATTTCGCCGGGCGGGACAATCCAAGTGGATCGTAAAAACGCCCAGAATTCAATCCTATTCGTCAAACCCAAATGTATAACTTATGCGCAACAGCAATCCAGAAATTTCTGTCCCTGGCCCTCCGATCCGCCACAGCAAAACCACCTTCTTGATTCGGTAAGAATGGAGTCAATCCTCACTGTTGACTGGCCACAATCTCGCTGCATAACACAATCCACCTCTTCCTTTTAGGGACTTTTCTTTTCTTTTTTCCTTTCTACTACTAGTACATGCTGTATGTAGTATGTATCTTTTTGGATGAGAGAAAAGAGGCTAAACGCTTCCATCATTTGGAGAGGGCAATCCTTAAGATCTCCCTTTTCTTCTCTTCTCTCTTCTTCTCTTCTTGGAGATGAGGCTCAGCTGGACTGTCCATCCATTAACACAACAATACAAGTAGCATTGTCGCTGTGCCGGTGATTGGCACTATTGGTGGCAATATCTTGAGCAATATCGCCCGCTCGCATTCCCCGCATCGCCAACTTCATCACATGTTGAATCAAAGCCCCATCGTCGGACTGGTTACTGACCCCATCCGACATAATTACCAATAAATAGCGTCGGTTCGATTGCAATGTCCGCCGTGAGGTATACGGGTCGTTGGATACAAAGTCTCCATGGGTTGGCTTCGATGACGAGGAGGCGCGTCGGTCGCGGGGCATCGAGTTATCGTCCTCCACACCGTTCACCGGCGTTTTGTACTGCAGGTCACCCAACGCGCGGGACATGTTCAGAGATCCTACTTGTCCGCTCATGCATTCCAGGAATTAGCCCCTTTAGCCCTTAGCTCTCCGAGTCTAATCAATGCAGACATGCTCTTACCGACCCGCGGGACACCGTTCCTCATCTCCACGCTCCCTCCGGCCTCTTTGATTCGGGCCTGTTCACTAGGAGTCTCGGGCTTATGTGCCTCTGTGATTCGTCGCTAATCAAACCAATGTATTACTGCTATCAGCCTTCCTTCTTTAGTAGAGAGAGGGGGGAAACGCCCACGATATGATACGGGCACTCCGTCTTCGGGTCCCGCTCAGCCAAGAGAACATGCGAATCACCCAGGTTCGACACTACTAGCTCGCCCTCCGTAAGGTTGATCAAACAGATGGCTGCGGTCGACCCAGACATTGCAGGCTCCGCACTTTCGTGCTTGAAGCTTTCCAGCAGCAGGCCATCCTCGTCGGCGAGAGCCGCCTTCAGGGCCCCGGCGTAGTCACCTTTCTTGAATTCAGGTCTCTGGGCAAGTAGGCAGTGCAGCCGTTTACTTGCGTGGTCTGCAACCAGCCCGGAACCACTACAGAATCCGATTAGGAAGGTGCCTGGTGGGGAGGTAGAGAAGTGGAATTAGTAGGTGTCTCACTGTCCATCATAAATGGCGAAGAACGCCAGTTTATCTTGAGTTTCGGCGGGGAAGTGTTCCGGGCGGATCACAGTATAGTAATCCTCTTGGTAGTCTCGACTCCCTTGTGCCTGCTATGGTCAGTAGCCTTTTTGGATCGGCAGGGGCCTTCGCATTCGTATTTGATATACCTGGCCAACTCTGACATCGAACAGCGTTACCGCATCCGAGCTAGACATGAGCGTGTTCTGGAACATTTGATCCCTAAGTGCCCGTTATGCGAAAACCATTCTGTATGAAGTAGGTGGTACTAGTTATCTTGACGGTCAACAACCCCCCTGGCCTTCCTTTTTGACTCACGTCGGAGCGGCCGACAGCTGGGCAGTGATGGTAGGCTGACATCATGTTTTTTGCCATTGCGCACATTTAAGATATCACCTGTAGTTAACGACTTGAATATATGAGTGCTGGGATGCTAGTTCAATTCCCCGTTGCAAAGTTTCAAGATTTAATTCGAAAGTCAGTACTCTATTACCCCGGTGATGTTGTCTATACTTCAGGTTGTACAGGAAGTGCAGAAAAGTACTAGTACATAACATCAACTGAATCAATCCGGTAAAAACCCCATTCAAAATGATAGCCCTAGCGAAATGGTCACTGATAGATAAACAGGCTGTCAGTCAACATAAAGATGGCTGCATGTCGCGACGATATCGATCTGGTGCCATGCCCGGGCGATGTCGATCGGAGTGCACGGGCCATCCGGTTCTTTGAGCGAATCTGCAAAGACCTGATGTTAATCGATTGATAATCCCGAGCACCACACGACTCCCCCCCGCTTATACTCTCCGCACTTTGTTCTGTCGAATCCAGTTCGGACCGAGTAGGAATGGGGTCTCTATTCGCAACCGCCGGATCCATATTCTCTCGCTACACTGGCCGCTCTTCAGCCCAACCCTCGACCCCTTCTGCCCCGCCGGACTCGAGATCCGATGATTCCTCCACAACTGCTGTCAACGATGCATCGGCGAGTCACGACAGAGATGACCCGAGCCTGCCTTCGATAGAGACCGAGGAGGAGTCTCCTCAGACAACACCTAAGGCATCGGCCTCGAATGCGCCGCCTCCCGTCCTTGTCGTCCCAACACTGAACCTGGACGGAGATAGCAACAACAATGGCACATCTAGCAACACAACCCCGTCGTTTCAAAGCCTCAGCGGGCCGCCGAAACAGACACCTTCCTCACAGCCCAGCAATGAATCTGCCATGAACACATCTCAGAAGCCGCTCATGCCACCTCCAGCGGCCCCAGCCAAGCAAAAAATACCCTCTACAACACCCAGCACAAACACATCCTCTATGATGCCTCCACCATCAGTCCCCCGTCTTCGACCAACCGGCGCCCAACCCACAAACCAACTCCAACCCCCTCGACTAAGCGCCGGCAGTTCCCTCCGCACACCTCCATCCGCAGCAGCAGGCCTGCGCGCCCCACCAACCAGCGGCGGAAGTCGCCTCAGCAATAGCACCCTCGCCCCGGTACAGGTCAAGAAATCCTCCGCATCGCGCAAAGTCGTGCTTGACCCCGGCTTCTCGCCCTGGACTGGGCAGCTCTCGCCGCCAACCCGAAGAACCAACTCCGAGGCGCGAACATGCCGCCCGGTTATCTGCGTGTCACGCCGTCGATGTTGAAGGTACAAAATGGGCGGAAGGGTCGCGACGCATGGACCTCGTACCAAGGGAAAGTCTATAATATACAGCCTTATGTGCCCTACCACCCTGGTGGAAAGGGCGAACTCCTCCGCGGCGCGGGGAAGGACTCCGCTCAACTGTTTCAGGAGATCCACCCGTGGGTCAACTGGGATGGGATTCTGAATGAATGTCTTGTTGGCATCCTTGTTTCGGAGAATGATGCCCAGGCAGAGGATGCGCTCGATGCGATGGACTAATAGAGCTACTTGGTCATATCTCTGATATGGCCCCGTACATACTGACATATGTACGTTCTATCTGCGGCCCATGTACACATACTTTCATTTTCCATGAACTAGAATAGATACCCTTTCTTTTGACGAATGACATGGCATTAGAAATTGGACGAATCAACCGATTCAAAACTGAACTTGTTCAGGGTATATTGATTTCATATCTCTCCTGCTGCAATATGTCTGCAGGACATTTACATAGCAAATGGTCAACCTTGAAGTCAGAGCTTACAGCTCATCCTTGTCAACGCCCTCAATGCCGACCAACTCGGTCTCGAAGATCAGGGTCGCGCCGCCAGGGATAGGACCGACGCCACGGTCACCGTAGCCGAACTCGGGAGGAATGGTAAGAGTACGCTTCTCACCAATGCACATGTCCAAAAGACCCTGGTCCCATCTAGAAATAGGCAAAACGTTAGCACACTTGGTACATTTTATGATGAGAGGTAGAAACTCTCGGAATCCCTAGACAACAAATTCCCCAGCAACGAGCTGCTGCGAAAGGAATCCATTGCACCGCTAGGAATGATCCATCCAACGCCAATTGTGGGTGTAGGCCTACCCCTTGATAACACGGCCAGTGCCGAGCTTGAAGCTCAGAGGAGAGTTGCGCTTGTAGCTCGAGTCGAACTCCTTTCCGGTGTCCTGGAGGGTACCGCGGTAGTGCATGGAGACACCGTCGCCGTCTTGTGTCTTGCGGGTGCATTCGACCTTGTGGGTGACTTCGATGCCTAGCTCGGCGGCGCAGGCCAGGGAGGCGAGGGAGAGAAAGATGCTGGCGAGACGCATAGTGGCGGGTATTGAGTAGGTTGTTTGGGAGGAATTGAGGGGAGTTGATTGAATTGGGGAGATGAGGAGCGGCCGAGGGGGATTCGGGGAGACCACGTTGGTCTGGCGGTGCGGAGCATGTGGGCCTGCGCCTGGTGGGGCCGCTCAGTAATGAATGTAGACGGGACCTCGAGTTGGGTAGGACGGGTTCCTTGATGTTGTATTGGGATCCAGGAATGGAATGATTAGTGGATTGAATGGAGATTGTCGCCCGCATTCTTGAGATTTGTCCTTGACTGGTGGGGTATAATATGCTCTTGGACCATCTCATATAGTGGTTGTCGAGGTATAAGCTCTATGATCTGACATGAATACAAGAATACAAGCATGTGAAAGGTGATAAGGAGATATTTGATACGCGGGATAAAAGGGTGTTTTTTACGTCTCATTCGGGATCGTAGTTATATAATTGTTATTGCTGGAGTCTAGTTTGCAGGCCAGATTGATGCTTTATTGATGCCTTGGGCAATGATATTTGCATTCGAGTATAGCATGAAGGAACCATGGACTTGGTTTGACCTTATATCCTTTTTTACTAACTCTTTGACATCCTCCAAATTTAATTATACCCGTCAGATCATTTTGAGAACTTACTTAGCGCTGCATTTGGACACACGTCCCGAGGCCACAATTTGGCGACACTACCCTACATGCACGGTTTCCATTTCAGTATACGAGCAGAAAGAATCTCACGAGATGATGGGTTTCCAGGATTTTGATTTCACTATCTGACTATTGAATTCGCCAGTCGCCGGAGCCTGGGTGCGGTGCATTCCCTATTTCCCTAGGTCCTCAGACCGGCAGCGCCGTCGAGGTTTTTCCCGCTGACTTCTTGTCTAGGGCCATACCTAATATAGTACTCTACCCTTGATCAATTTTTTGATAGATGAGAATTTCATTTTATGACCTAACTAGTAGGTAGAGTACCCTAGCAATATGGTCTCTAATAGATCCAGAGAAGGAAATGTCTCGTTCTTCATCACTATCACCAACCTCACCCACCCTTTTTTTGGGCAGTATCGGCGATCGTGGCCCCATCATCCGCATTCGCCTGCAGATCATCCTCTCCCATGGCTTCATCCCATCCATTCGCCACAAGATACACTCGAAACTGCTCATCGCGTATCCTCAGATCCTCGCCCGAGAGATCTGGCACGAAGAAATAGGTTACCAAAATCCCCACAACACCACAGATCGCCGCAATAATAAACGTCCACCTTTTGCCCAGATGAGTCGCGATCGGCTGGAAAGCCTGCGTCCCGATCGCTGCACCCGCCTTACCAATGGCCGCCGAAAGTCCATAGCATGTACCGCGCACACCAGTGGCGTATGTCTCGGATGATAGGAGGCCAAGCATGTTGCCCGGACCAAAATTACCGCAACTTGACATGAGCCCGTAGAAGACGACGAAGAGTGGGATTATCTTTGTGATCTTGTCATACGAGCATCCGATGATCAGACCGAATATCAAGTAGCCACTGAAGCCGATCATCATGATATTTTTACGCCCAACTCTGTTGCAGAGAATCGCGCCGAGGAAGACACCCGGCAGAGCGATCGTGCCGAGGAGGAGCTGCCATTCGCCTGTTGAGCGGACAGAACCGGTCTTTGTAACCTCTGAGATGATAGTTCCAGAGAAGACACCGTTTGGGAAGGTCACAAAGTCTAGAACACATTAGTAAGTGCTGTCGCCAGCGAGACGTTGGTGAGACTTACCGTAAAGAAACCAGGCACCACATGTTCCAATGAGAGCTTTCCAGTAGTAACGAAGAACAAGTTTATAAGGGACATGTTTCTTGATCGCTCCGCGGCGGTATAGAGTCGAGTTTAGCATGCGGATGCGGAAGTAGAAGACCGACAGTGGCCAAATACATCCAATACCGAAACATACTCGCCACACAGTACTGTAGTGCGATTCATGGCATGCCATCAGAACAATCAAGAAGATTGATACTGCGAATGGCCCACCAAAGCTGAGAGGGAAGTTGGTCACCATGATGAAAGCTGGCCCACGATGTTTGGGTGTCAGCTCGTTGGCCGATTCCGAAGCTGAGGTCGAAGATGCTGGATACTCGCCGCCAGTGCCTAACAGAGCCATGAAAATTAGCTCACAACTATGTTTTGAGAGGCCTAGTCAATGGATGGAGACCTGCCGAATCCCACAATGCCACGAGCGACTGTCATCATCCAGAACATGCCGTCAATGGTAACTCCATGAGATGCAGTAGCAAGTATACCACCAACGACGATCATAGCAGTGGTAAATACGATGGCGGTCTTGCGACCAAGATAGTCACATGTTAGACTGGAGAAAGCGCATTAATTCATGCTTTAGAGTCCTGCTCATGAATCCCAGGAATCGGCACTTACCCGATGACAATCTGACCAATGATTTCGCCAACTAGCAGGGCGTTAGAAACGCGTGTACTAACAGTGGATGTGTACTCCTTGGGGTATTCCTTCTTGAGAAGAACATTGGCCATAGTCCTATATCCAGCCGATTATAAGTCGATGCTCAAAGTCCTGTGGGTGCAGACTCACATCAGATTGTTCTGGTACCCATCGCTGATCAGGGCAAAGCCACTTGCGAACTGGGTCATGAATTGTGAGTAATATGCAAGAATAAGACAATCTGCAGCTGTTTAAATGGTCCACTTACAATAGTAAACAGATCCGACAAGCTCTGCCGCTTCCTCGAGACCTCAAGCGAGGGATCGGCGGTATGGGAGCCAGCAGGCTCCAAAACCTCTGCAACAACAGATTTGCTCTCAGGTCGCACATCCATGGAGTCAACGGTCATTATTTTTGGGCCTCGAATGAGTCTTGAAAGCCACGGGCTTAGTAGTGGTGGACTTGTGTTCGGGGTGCGGGGAGTAGAGGTAGGAACAACTACTTGGAAGCTGCTGGAGGTGCCACAACCCGCGCGGGGTCGTTCAGGGTGTCGCTGTAGCGCAGGCACTAGCCCTACAGCGCCAGGCAAAGCTTACCCCAGGCTGATCATTGTGTAACGTGGCTGTCATTGGACGCTGCGTTAGGAAGTGGCACATAGTTGTGTGCCACATGCGGCTGGTGGAGGTAATGATTGGCGGGTGGGGGCGTAAACGAAGATCTTATCTTGTGGCTTGACCTTACCCTGGGGTAGAGCGGGTGTTTCTGGAACTTTGAATAATTACTACGAGAAAAGGATCACACGTTTTTGTAGTTAATCAGAGAATATTCATCTATATGAAGCTAAGTACAGTTTATTTTCATAACGCCAGTCCTTCCCAAACGCCAATTTGCACCCATGGGTATCAATGCATGCATGGGAATACATCATAGTACTCCCCTCCGGTTTTGTGAACGCGATATCATAGGGGGAAAATATCCTTGATAATTCAGAAAAACAGGCAACAAATTCAAAGTCATCAGGTTCATGCCCATTTTCCTAGAACAGCCATGAGCGCAGCACCCATGCACAGCAGGGCGAAGGCCGCCAGCACGTCGCGGATTGGAGCTTGACGCATCGAGTGGCTGAACATGAACTCGTGTGCCATCAATTCTACCAAGGCAGTGTAAATGAGAATACCGGCAGAGATAGAGTCAAATACGCCGTTGACAATCAAAGTGGTCCGGCCTTCGGGCGGGTAGCTGTTGCGGACACCTAGGCCAATGGCAATTGCAATCGGGGTCGACAACCCGAAGGCTAGCCCCAGGAAGTACGGTGTGTGGCGTTTGGACCGCGGCCATGGAAGCATAGCGAGCCGGGACCCCAGTCCAAGACCTTCAAAGGTCTGGTGGAAAACCAGAACGATATACAGAGTGGTGAACTCGGCACCTGAGACGGCAAGAGTGAGACCGATAAAGACCGAGTGGAAGATAATACCGAATTCCAGAATGAAGATGGAGGTCAGCTGGGCGGCATAATCCTCAATTGCAGAAACGTCCTTCTCTGAGTCGTCGGAGTCATGGTGTTCCCGGGAATGGCCAAGATGATCCTCCCCAGGCATAAGATGATTGTGGTGATGGTGCCCTTTGTTCTCGGTGACTTCTTCCACCAGGGGAGGCGAATCAATGTGAGTGTGAGTGTCGCCTTCCTCATCATGAACATGGCCCGCACCAAAGCGGGAGAAGCGCATGACCATAAGCTCAACGAA